AAAACGGTTTAGAACAGATCTTATGGATAAAGAATTGCGTGAAACTACTAATTCATGTGTAAAAATAATAAACAGCAAACGACAAATAAAGGGGAAACTTGGTCACGTGGTAAAAATTCGCGTTTGCCGTTTGACGTAAACGTGAAGCTTAATCTCTCTACTGACGAGAAGTTTATTTGGCTTGCTAACACGAATTTCCTCCGCACTGTATCGAGTAAGAAAGATTAACCAATTAGAAACCTATACAGGCCCTTACTTGCTAGATACCTCCTAATGGATGAGTTTCAGTGCATCCTTCACGGCGGAAGACATTTTCTTGGCTTCGATTTTGCAGGCATTTGTCTGAAGATCATCTGAAGTCTGAAGCGTTTTGCCATAGTAGTCTTTCACACTTTCCTTTATATGATCGGCGTTTTCGGAGCTCATTTTTGGGTGGATGATTGCCTTGACAAACCTCTGCAAATTGACGTTGACAGACTTATGAATGCACCCTTTCGATTCTTCACACCAAACTGATGACGTACTTAAAGACAGAAAGCCCCTTGCCAGTAGGCAGTCACTTGTGACTGGGCATTACATTCAAGGCAAATTATTCCCACTCAGTGGTGCATAGATGACTCAGTAACTGACGCACGGACGTTCGACTAGTTACCGATCATAAGATCATAGGATTGGCAATCTTATAAAAGACAGCTTTCAGAAGAGATCCGCGAACACGATGTTGAGTCAATTAGCACTTCATCTTCCAGTTAAGCAAGGTCAAGCCTACTCCTAGAGATTTTATAAATGATTTCACTATTTGAAAATCAAATTCCTCGTTGCTTATATCAGATTCACTTCTTCACTCTTGCATACGCAATGAACGTGAATTCAACCGTACGCAAAGTGGTGAAAATTTATTTCACCTCACCTTTCTTTTTACACTTGACACATTTGCCTTTTATCCGTTAAAGCTGTGGACGATTCTTCAATCTGAACGAATATAGAGATATTGTGGTCCAAAGTCCACTGCTCATTATGCATGGATCGAAGGACTGTAGATTTAAATTTGATACCAGTAGTGGCAACGACTGACGGGAACGTGTGTTAACGACGGAAAAGCGCGCGGAAAGGACTAACTGCGACTTCCGGTGTCCAATTTGCCCCTCTGCCACTAGTCCAGCCAGTTGTTTGAATTGCGCGCGCCATCGTCAACTGACGTTCCCGTTCTGTTGCTAACGTAAAACGAAAGTGTTCAAGAAAGTTGACGCCACCACCACATCAGGAAGCCTATGCAACGACGACGACGACGACGGCAATGAGAACGTCAAAATTCAATTGGTTTTATGAGCAAAACAAGAGCTTTGCAGGTGCATCGCGCTTTTAGTACATTTCTTTGACATCCACTGCACGGCTACTACGTGAAACCTCCTGATTCGACGTTTGATGAAGGACGTGGAAATAAGACAACAAATCAGTTTCCTATCTCTTTTAGGACGTGGATAAAGTCCTTAAGAATTCAACTTCAGGAAAAGTCGCCTACATTTGACAAATTGAGCGGGTCCAAACAGAAGCGATAAAGTTTTAAAGAACGCACTGTGATCGTGGTCGTCGTTGCTTAAGCACCCTATTTATGATGCAACAACGAGATAAAACGCTATTATCAAATCCCCTTCCTCACTCCAAAAAAAATTGTATGCGCGGAAAGTCTAGCAAATACACTACCTTAGTTTGGGTACAATAAATTGTTTTTGTCGCTCTCTTTAATTCTATATACCAGTAAAAAATTACAATACTTCTTAGCTTCAAAACAATTCAACGCTTAACATAGTGTCTCTGTAAAAAAAGAGCATTTACAAACTTATCACATCATATAAATAAAACGACTCTGACTTATTATTGCGTTATTTTTTTCTTTTTTTCGGTCGGATGGAACTTAATTACAAGCATGACTTTTTATTTTGCAATTCTTTTAACAAGCTTCTTTAAAATTGTTGCGATAGGGCGTTGCGATGTATATATAAATTACTGAATAGAACTTATCTAAAATTAGAGCTTTGAGTTAAAGGTCTTGACAAACTTAGCGCGGATTGAGTCTGATTACATACCAAATCTCCTGCCTCGTCCCTAGGCCAGTTTGCGCTATCTGAATAAGCGGAGGAGGTTTGGAACCGACTGGGCGAATTCTCCAGGCACCTTACCCGACAAGCATGACAGCTGACGTCAGATTGGGAACACATCCGCCCAGGACGACTAGGAACGAGGCTACAAAACTACAAAGTTGGTTTGAGTTCATTTGCTCAGAATAAACTTACGAAAAGTTAAAAAATGCAGCACTCTAACACGTTACTTCATCTCTCAACCACGAGAAGCCTCTCATCTCCAAAAAAAAAGAGAGCAACCAACTAAGAAGGGATTATAAGCGAAAATATACAAATCTTACGACAAGAACGGGAAGCTCTGGACACTAGGAGCATTCTCTATTTTCCAATTCCCCATAATACCCTCTGTTTGTCCCCCAAATTTTGTATAAACCATTGTTTTTAAATGCTCCTGGGAGTATTGCATTTTCCCAAGAGCATTTTAAGACAATAAGTTATGCAAAATTTGGGGGGCAGACAGAGTGTATTATGGGGAGTTGGAAAATAGTCAATTTGAGTTGCCTGTCACTGATTGGCTAGAAAAAAAAATTCCTGTCCAATCAGAAGTGACATTAGAAGCTGGAACTTCCAGGGTTTTGGGGGCCTGGGATTTAGCCCATAGATATTTCGTCGCAAAAAGCTGCCGCGTCTCTAAAAACGACTTTAACGTGAAGTTAGATTCAAGACCTACGCAAAGTAATTACACAACCTAAAACCAACACATTTCGATCGGTGTCACTAATCTTTACAGCCACTTTCCCCTTCTTATACATGTCACGTTTCTAGACTGGTAGGTTGGTTAGATTTACTCAGATATTTCAACAGACTATTTAACACTNAGCGAAAATATACAAATCTTACGACAAGAACGGGAAGCTCTGGACACTAGGAGCATTCTCTATTTTCCAATTCCCCATAATACCCTCTGTTTGTCCCCCAAATTTTGTATAAACCATTGTTTTTAAATGCTCCTGGGAGTATTGCATTTTCCCAAGAGCATTTTAAGACAATAAGTTATGCAAAATTTGGGGGGCAGACAGAGTGTATTATGGGGAGTTGGAAAATAGTCAATTTGAGTTGCCTGTCACTGATTGGCTAGAAAAAAAAATTCCTGTCCAATCAGAAGTGACATTAGAAGCTGGAACTTCCAGGGTTTTGGGGGCCTGGGATTTAGCCCATAGATATTTCGTCGCAAAAAGCTGCCGCGTCTCTAAAAACGACTTTAACGTGAAGTTAGATTCAAGACCTACGCAAAGTAATTACACAACCTAAAACCAACACATTTCGATCGGTGTCACTAATCTTTACAGCCACTTTCCCCTTCTTATACATGTCACGTTTCTAGACTGGTAGGTTGGTTAGATTTACTCAGATATTTCAACAGACTATTTGACACTTAATAAAAAAATTGTGTTTGCTTTTAAATCACAAATTTTTAGGGATGTTAGTTCTTTCAGTAAAACATCGATCAAATTATTAATAAAGGTTTTACCTGTAATCTATTTATACAACATTTTCATTTTACGAAATATATGTTATAACTAACGACACTGTCTTTCACAGCTGATGACTATTCACAAAACACAAGAATCACTCAAAGGAAGAAGAACAGGTATCAGTTTCGCCGTCACGCAATATTCCCTTCTTGTAGATACTGTACACAATAAATAATACATCTCGTTTCGTAATCCTGAAGTAAAACAGGGGCTTACCTGCCTGATTCTTGATTTGTAATTGATCGTTATTAGTAAGACACCAATTCCCCAAACTCGTTCCCAGGATTCTATCCTGCTCGTCTCTTCGGAGAGAAAGAGAGAGAAATCCTGGAAACGAGGATGTCGTTTCCCAACTTGATCGGCAAATGGGATGTGCAGCGTTATAACGTTATCGTGGCAGCGCAGGCAAAAGCTTCGTAATTACTTTGCAAGCTGCCGCGATAGTCCGCTGGTTCTTAGTAGAGACCTGTAGATTCGAGGACGAGAACGACTACGAGTACAAGATTTGGACTTAAGTTTTTTCGCGTAACAGAAACCCCGGAAATCTTCATTGTAATTATTTTCAGCTAAGAAAGTGTGTACTGTTATCTTTATTGAAGGAGGTTAAGCCCTCTCCCTTTAGCAAAATGATAAAACTTATTTAAAAATTTAATAACTACGGTTTCCGCCACTAAGACATTCTCGCTAAAACTCGTAGTAGAATGATGACGGCTATCACGTTTTCCCGCCAAAATGACGCTAGTTCACGCGCGACAAATACTTAAGTAATAAGAAAATCTCGTCTCAGAATCTAAAGCTCTCTAATGTAATTTAATTACACCAGCCTATATAAAATTAATTTAATTACTATTACCTAATTTTATTTATTTACAGTACCTAAGTACTCCGACTCGAATGCTGAGAGCCGTAAGGTTCAAGTAAGAAAGCCAAAACTCTAGCTCGTAATGTATACCAGTCGTGTCCCTTAAGCGAGAGACAATACTTTGCTGATCTGAAATTCCGGAAACTTTCCAGATGGGATGGAAACTTCCAAGGGTTTCTTCCATACTAACACATGGTCCTCGTTTTGCGTTACAAACTTGTAATCTTGACAGACCTCGCGTAGTGTGCAGGAAGCCAGCAAAATGGTTGTTGCGAGCCAACAAATTTGAGAACCGGTGTAAATGGAAAGACTGGAATAACCCATAAGATCATGCACGTTTTCCTGGATATTCTCAGGCAAAGCCTACGTTTTATTTGCAATTGCAATCGCAGCAGTTGAACCAGACGTTTTGGCTAAATGGAGAGTGCTCCGGGTTTGCGTCTGGTTATGTCTGGTCGAAGAACACGTTTTCCCGATGCACTATTAACTTGCAGTGATGTAGAAATTTCTTGTGACAGTCGATTATACACAGGTTCCATTACACCTTTTGCGGGTTCTTATACGCGTAGCTCTTCCTGCGGGCGTGGTCCCTGGAGCGTCTCCATGGGTCCCTAACACGCTCGCGAAACAAATACCACTCTGGCCGACGGGGGTGAAGCCATCATCGTCCGCAGGCAATTGCATAAGAACCGTAAGGACAGACGCTTTGCCATTTTCAAGGGTTTCTACAGCGATATTTCCTGCTGATGACTGAAAGCAACAAAAAGGTCACATTATTATTGAGATCGCATTTTCACGAGGCTGATTTAAATCCGTCTGTGTGGCGGATGTTTGTTACTTGGTGTCTCTTCTTAGGGACAGCATCTCAAAAGCCCCGAAAACGTTTCTAATGGTGCGGAGCTAGAATCCTAGTCATATAATCGACGTACTCTTGGTCTAGATTTAAAACCACAAGCCTGGCCAATATCTTTTTTATCAACTTTGAATACCAGTACTAAGCTTTCTAAACTAACAAAATCTGGATCTCAAATTCAAAAGCACAAAAGAGCTTTTCGCAATCGACTAGTAAGCAAGGTTCTTAATTTTCTCCTGCCTACGAGTCAAAATTTCTGACTTCCAAAAAGTCCCACCTCATCTTGCCGCAAGCTGTCCGCAATTTAATTCGCAGATTTACAAGTAGTATTCCTCAGTCTCTCAGTTTAAATTTAATTAAATTTAAACCAATCGTCTTGGGAATTCCTTAGAAAACAGACTACATGTACTATATTGAGGTTCCTCAAATACTTTCTAATCACAAGCAGGTAATACTTCATATAATTCAGTCTAGTTTATAATTCGCATTTTAATTCCTGCACTCTTAATCCTAATCTACCACTAATATCATGTTGTCACCTTTTAGCCTTTCGTACATACTAAGTTAGATGACTATGACTCTACAGGTCAGCTTCTGTAATGTTATGTTATCTTATATTTCTTTACTTAAATAAATTGACTTTCCCCTGCCTCAAATAGCTTTTCAGTTATATTAACAGTTGTCAGGGAAAATGTTTGTGTACTATCGAGTGTACTCCAAATTGAGTTTCGTTGTTGTTGTTGTTGTTGTTTTAGTGTACAGTAAGCCCTAGTACTGCCCCAGTACCCTACCTTTTGATGACTGTGACTCAGTAGAAAGGGTACTTTGGCAAACGGACGACTCGCCATCTTCTGCCTCTCTTCACGTCGTTGCTATGAAAGAAGTGGAAAAAGAATGAGGTTTTAAAACAAAAACAAAACAAAAATAAAACAAAACCAAACCAAACAAAAGAAACTCGTAAGGCATAGAGAGGATCAGCAATGGAGTATGACCAATCATCAAATGAAAATCAGAAAATTGTTGGAAACGCACACCTGACATATTCTTAGCGTTAAACTGATAAATACCTTCCGGCGTTTACCTTCCTTTAATCATTCAGCTCCATACTTTATACAGTTTATTTCACAATAAATACTTAACAAATGTTTATGTTTCAATTCCCACCAAAAAATTGCAAGGCTAATCGAGTAAGGTGGATGAAACTAAATGACAAAAACAAAAACGCATGTAAGTCATTTGTAAATCCCAAAGGTGGCGAAGGCAACTCACCCGGTTTAAGATAAAGTTAACGTAACGATTCCTGACTTTCCACACGACACCAGCAACAACAAGCAGTGACAGGAAACAGCTGTATTAAACACAAAAATGAAAAACGTACTTGCAGCTTTGACAGAGAATTTTTCACAAGTATTATGTCCTAACTTAGTATGAGCGTTGTTGGAAGCGCTGTGAAGTTCTCAAAACAAGTTGCTTATTTAGTTAACGCCTGGTTCGCTCAATAGATTGGGTATTACACTGTCAAGCGGTAGGCCGGGTTTGATACCCCATGGAACCATTACTCAGGGTCTTCAAAGGAGCTGTGTCTTGAATTTTATCAAAATTCTAACAGTAGGAACTACCATCAAACTGAGTGAAACATAAAAATAATCGCTCAAAACATTAAAAGGATGTATTAATAACACAGCAAATAAAAACGTAGGCACGGATGGACAAACTTGAAGAAGATTAAAACGGACTGAATTCGTTAGCTTTAGAAAACGTCTTAGCCTAACAGTTTTTCAAAGTTCATTTTTATTAGTTTGTAGGGTTCGATACATGCTTGGGAAAGATATTTGTAGGACAAGAAGCTATGATTTTGATGATTTTGTCGTTTACAAGTTATTTAATCGTTTACGTTAAGTTTTATCAGCGCATAAGGAAGCGTATATAATTGGCAATATTAACAAAGTAAACTGGACAACCATGACACTGCAGCCCCTTCAAATAACTGAGGAAAATGTACTTCCTTTTCTCGTCTTCTCGGATAAAAAAGAAAACTTTTACTTATCATGACTCTGTGAGACGGTAAAAAAAAACAATACGGGCGTAAAAAGAAAATAGCAGTAACCACTCCCTAGTGTCTTCTTCTAAATCATAGTGTGTCACAGTAGGGATATTCATAACTCATTACTTCATTCAATAGAAACTACGCCGCAAGCAGTCGTCTGGCAAAGTCCCCACACGAGGTTGTAAATTATCCCTGAAAAGCCTTGAGGGAAATGGAAAAAAATATATTGATTGCTTTCAACTGCTAAAACCATACTCACCCGAAAAATGTGAGGAAGAATTCTAGAAGATTAATCGTTTCCGTCGGGATGCTAAAAGAGACCTACAACGAAGAACGTATCAAAATGTTTTTCGCCCAGCTTCTCTGTAACAGGAGCGAATAATTTGTAACTTGATTAAGTCTGTAGTGTAAGAATAAGCCGCGCTATAACTGAGCGCAAACGAAGGCAACTTAAGGACTGCGTCGAAGATTAGATGGGATTAAAGGATGAATAAGTATAAAGACGAAAACATACAAGAAATGGGGAAAATACGCCTCGCATATCCCCAGTGCCCGAGTGTTCTCATTCCGATTTGTATAAGCTGCGACAAAGGGAACCTTTAAGGCTGTTCACACTTAGCCTGCAGTGTAGGCGTTTTCTTTAAGCGCTCAATTTGCTCGCGAAAGCGACATGTTGAAACTTCCCGAAGAGAGGAGGAGATGGGGCGAGTCAAAGGGAGCGGGGAGGGGGCGGGGAGAGGGAAGAGAAAACCCCGTATTTTTTTCTCCTCTCCCCCTCCCCCCTTTCCTTCTTTCGCCCTCGCACCTTCTCTTAAGGGTTACTATTTCTACTCTCCCCAATCTTCCACTGTCATAAAATCAAAGATGGCGGCTACAACAATATTACGAACACGAACAAGGTTTCTCCCACCCAAAATACACCTGCACTGCAGGCTAGTTCACATTATATCGGAAAGCTTTTGCACCGCTACGAAAATCATACTGGATAGGGCGTCTGTTCACACACAAGACTGTTGTTTTGGCGGCGCGATTTCTGTGACGGGAGAAGCTGCGTCGCGACGCTCTCTACAGTGGAGAGTCACACTGATTGGATAGGTGTTCAAACTATCCTAGATAGCTTTTTTTGGCGCTACGAAACGCTATTCGGCATAGTGTAAACAAAGCCTAAAAAGAGTTACAAATGCGTACAACTGATGAAAAAGCATTCAAAACAGGCACCCAAGAGAGAGGGGACAAAGGTCCCTTTTCTCCCCACCCCCTTCCCCTTCCTTTTTTGCGTCTGCCACATAGGCTAGCATCAAGCTAAGAATGCATCAATATAGACTACAAGTAGTCCCCCATAGGGATAGTAGAGCGAGCGAAACGAGAGCGCGCGTGAAAATCACCCCACGCGAGAAAAGGCGACACCCCACCGCCTTTCTCGCGTGTGGTGATTTTCACGCGCGCTCGCGTTTCGCTCGCTCTACTATCCCTAAGGAGAAATGGGGGACTACTCGTAGTCTAGCATCAATAGGCCACTTCCGAGTTCCAAAAACCCTCACTTTGGAAATGAGGCTAAGGTCACAGCCTTTCTTGTGAAAATGAGTTATATTTGCATGAGAATTAAAAATCATTTCTATATCAAAGGTTGAGCACTTAACCTCGTTTTGATACAGAGGCCCGGGGGGAACTCGGAAATGGCCTACTGAGCAAACCACTCATAAAAAAAAACATTATGTCAGTAAAGTATTTTAAAATTTGCGTTTCTTAAACATTTCGATGAGCCGTATGGTTTACGCGTGAAGGACCGAATCACTGGGTCATTTGCGGTTTTCCTGACGACAGTCAGGAAAAGTCAGTTCATTACCACATTACGAACAATAAACATAGAGCGATTAAACCCTACATACCTTCAGTATAGCACTCCCCCTGGAATCAATGTCATAAATATATCCTCTTAGACCAAACTTGTCCTCGTGATCAAATTCGTAGTCCTGGTAGTGAAATACCGCCTCGAATGATTCCTGGGCAGTAACCAGTTTCTGTTTATACTTTAAAACCTCTTTATCTTCAGGTCTCTCAGCTGAAACAAGAGTGCAATTATCAATCCTCCTTTCATGACAGTAAATACGTGTTAGAGCTATTTTCGTATGACCTTGAAAAATGGTTTCGGTAAGTGTTCGTTATTTGTTTTATCGGCCAATGGATGAAAAGATCAAAACATGGACTCCTCGATTCCCGCCAAAGAAAACCCTAATATGGAGATTTATGGCCCAAGCACTTCGAGTAATTTATACTACGGAACCGAAAAATTGAGACCGGAAACACGAATATTAAATGGATTTCTTTCTATGGCACAACAAATGGGTTACCAGCAAAGGATTTCACAGGCCTTAAAAACTTTAATTTATAAACTTTTTATTCGACTGAACAAACAAGGAGCTTTACCTACACCTCTTATATGACGAGTTCGCGCTCCATAAGGTAACTGTACGTGATGAGGTTTTTTCCCGCCATTAAAGAGCGACGCGCAAGGACCATAAATCAAGGGGAGGGAGGAAGCGGATTTGTAATTTGCAGTACGATCCGAGAGAACGAGGCTGGTCAAATGTTTACAACGTCCATTTTTCTAAAAAAAAAAAGAAAAAGGCGCCTCCTAAAGGATTTTTTCCTTTGGACCAAAACACGGCAGACGCTAGAGGAGACGCTTATCAGCAACATTCACTGACCAACTTCGCCACAGGATCTTTCATGGCCAACAGACGGGAATTGGACAGACTTATCAAATCGTTGCAGGTGCGCACGAAATAGATAGATAGAAATACTTCAGTGTGAACTGGCGTGCGAAAAGCAATTACTCTTCGTACGTCAGTTCACATCACGATAATGTAGCATCTGCTCGCAGGGTATACTTGCCAGAGCCTTACCAAAAAACGTAGTCAGGTTCACCTTGGCTTTAGAGCCCAAGCTCTCATCTGTCCACTTGATTTCCAACTGCACACTGCGTTTCGCCTATTGAAACAGAAATGTCACGGCCAACGCCTACATGAGAGAAAGGCCGCAGAAGGAGCGAGTTTTTCTGAGGGAGAGTCTAAACACAGGCTGTGAGAAGTGCAAAGTGTCTATTCGCGCAGAAAGACATTCTTATAAACGTTCAGTAATATAATGATGACTTACCAGTCCGGGAAAATACTCAAAACTTAACCTTTCAAACCCAGTCAGATTGAAGGACTTGACGGTAGCCCCAAACTTTGCGAATGAAACTACAGTTGGGGTAAAATAACATGTGGTAAGAACCTCGGTCAATTTGAAAACAGAGAGGTTAAATCACCATTAAACATCAAGAGTGCTTTATTACTTACAGTAACAAAAGACGTCATTAGACGCATTTCCGACGTAAGATTCAGTGGTATCGCATCTGTGGAAAAAGAGGTGTAAGAGATCAAAGCAGCTTTGAGAAACAGGACCATGAAGCAGAACACTTTTTTGGTAGGTGTCATTCGATGAACGGTCCTCCATAGTGAGGGGGGGGGGGGGTACCAAGTATTTAGCTCCGTTTGTGACTCGCCCACATATGGATTGGCGTCTTAAGACACAAAGGCACTCTGCCTCGCCTGCCATCAGAAACGCAGCTACCCGAAATAAGCCAGCGCTCTCGAATAAGCGCCACACCTTGACCGAAAATATATTAATAAGCGCCGCGACGCTAATTTGGGTATTTACTAATTAACGCCCCACCTTTGTTACGGCGCTTGATATTTAGCAGTTATTTCTCGAGCCAGAATGGGCTCTGAATCAATACCCCATGAGGCCGAAGGCCGAATGGGCTATTGACTCAGGGCCATGAGGGCGAGAGGAATAATTGTTTTAGTAAAATCCAACTAGCTGGTCAAAAATATCAGGAGAAAACAACTTTAACTAGCAAAACGCGATTCAGCCGCCATTGTTTTGGTTTTCAAAGCTGGCGTTTTTCGCTACTAGTGGGCCATAACATATAGCCTAGTAGTAGCTCAACCAATCAGAACGCAGCATTGATAATAGACCACTAGTTGGATTTTACTAAAAAGAGATATCAAAAGCATATCGCTTGAGAAATAAGACCTCGACCAACTCGTGAGTTCTTAAAGTTTTAGGGCGCTTTCCATTTCGGAAAAAACCCCGGAAATTTCGGTGGGAGCAAAAGTGGAATTTCCGATTGGTAAAAAGTTGTTCCATTTGGTCGTAAACCCCGGTACGTCGCGGTGCCCGACGGTGGACCTGGAACTGGTACAAACTACGAGAAACGTAAATGGAACACGACATTCCGTTCGGAAATTCCAACCGGGGAAACGGGACCACCTTTTTAGATTTTCCATTTTTTCTGGGAATTTTCCAGTGGGATGAACCGACGAAACGTTTTCCATTTACCGCTGAACCGGAATTCCGGAAATTTTGACTAAATGGAAAGCGCCCTTAATGTACGGAAACTCTTGAAACTGGGTTCATATAACAGTTCGAGATGTACATATTTGTTATTGAATTGTGCATACCTAGTACTCGCCTCACTTAAGTCCCTGTATATTCCCCTTAGTGTTTTACATGTAGTTAAAATATGCGCCGCGCCTCTTAATCGATCATTTACGGTACCTGCGCAGGCTGTAAACGCTGAACGATCTCTTTCAGTACCATAGAGACCTATATCTTTGGGAGCATCTATCTCAGAGAGCGTCAATTGCATTTGCTAGAACTAGGCGGCCAGGCTGGTCCAATTGTAAATACTAATCACTTTTCAAATCCAACCCGATTAGTCTGTTTATAAATGGTATGGTCGGCAATGGTAGGTTTTAAGGAAAATTTTGCGAAAAAAACTATTACTTAATTTTCAAAATGACTAGTCCGGCTGGCTATTTGATTTGTGATTTTCTGGATAGCGACCTAACAGGGCTCGAAAAAAGTCACGTCCGGTAGTCCGGGACAAGTATATTTTCTTGCTGGGCAAGTACTTTTGAAAATTCACTTGACCAATGGTCAAGAGTCCAGGCAAGTCATCCTCGAACAAAATCATTAACAGAGAAAAGCAAGAAGTGGTCCCGGGCAAGAAAAACATGAGGGCTGCTTACCCAAAGGACAAGCTGGAATTCAACCATTTTTCGAGCCCTGCTTAATCTTAAGTCCCATGAATGATGACTTACTCTTCACAGTTGCGACCTTTGACGCCCTTAGTAACACACTGACAGATGCCAGTAGCAGGATCACAGGCTTCGCTTTTCGCATGGCCAGTGCACTGACATACTGAAATAAACAGAGCCAACAAAAATAGAGCGATTTTCGCATGACCTTGAAAATTGGTTTCGGTAAGTGTTCGTTATTTGTTTTATCAGCCAATGGATGAAAAGATCAAAACTTAGCCTCTTCGTTTTCCCGCCAAAGAAATCCTTAATATGGAGAAGGCATTGTTCGATTGGCCAATCATGCTGCTGTATAACGTCAAAGTGAAGTATCGATTGATTTCTAGAAAGTTCTCGGGCATGAAGTTCTGACACCCGAGCGTTCGCTTAACCAACCAAACCCACACGCGTTTTTATCCGTTCGATAAACCAATCAAATAGCTCTATTTCCGTTCGTTTGTTGCTTATGTTTTGTTAGCGGGTTATAATTTCAAGGTCATCCGAAAACCGCTTTAATCATTCAGTCAGAGGCAAGGATAGTTGTACTAGTTTGACGGACCCATACTTCGCGTCATAGTGATTCATTCATTCACGTGGGAATAACTTCCCCATTGGCAGCCCTTTGGGAATAGGCAACTCCCTTATAAGAACCATTGTGGGAAACTACCCCAAAACGTAAAAAGTACACAGTTTACTTTGAGAAAAATGCAAAATCCGGACTATTTTATCTGACAGCCAAACTGTCTTATCCCACCCAACCCAATAAAAGCAGCAAATTAAATGAAAGTTAGAAGGTTTTGCTCCAAACCTGAACATTTGCATCCATTTTTTGGATCTCCAAAATATCCTTTCGCACATTTTTCACAGTAGGGTCCTGCAAGAGAGCAAGTGTAAACAGTGTAAACTGGCGGATCTGTCTGATCAGAGAGTTCCTATGATAATACAATGATTACCTACTTTGAAAAAATGAAATTGCTACCACTAAATGATATCAGAGATCTAAGTAGTTGAATATCGAAGTTCACTAGAAAATAATGCGTAACAGCAGCGTGCAAAGAAAGTCGTGTCCGATAACCCGGGGCTAGTGGATTTTGTAATCGGGCTAGTGAAGTTTTTTGGGAAATTCAAATTACAGAAGAACTGTAATCAATGGTGCTCATCAAAAATTTTTGGGGCTACTTAAAAGACTCTTGACCTTGTACATACTAGCAACAACTTGCCCGAAAGACAATCCGTAAAACCGAGCTTTCTTTACACCCTGAACAGTCACAAGGGGTGGAAACAGTGTTTGCAATCTTAGACCTCAACCCGCCTCCTGCCCCCACCAAGCCAATAAAAAATTTCCCTGGGCGCGCGCCTGGTGTAGCAGTCTCCCACGCACGCTCGCTTGACGAGACAAAAACGGTAGCGAGGGAGACAACTGGTGTAGTAGGATTTTGGATCATGCGGAAATAGGCCCACCTACTCCTCCCTCAAGCCAACATTTTGCCCTAAGTGAGAAGTTAGTGTCAATGTTGGCTTAGGGGAGGAGTAGGTGGGCAGTTTCCCAGAAACGAATAATGATCCAATGCGTTTTCACATGAGGTAAAGGCGTCCATATTGATGCACGAAACAGTGAAACGGCGGCCATGTTGGTGTACGGAAATAAAGTCGTGAGGAGATTAAACTCTTTTCTTATGTAAAAAAGTTTCTTTTCTTCCAAGAAATTTGCAAAGCTGTTGACCACGCGAGACAAAACGATCCATAACGATCCACGTGAACTAAAACAAAATCCTGGAAACTGCAGCCAAGCAAAAAGAGTATTTCGAACTGAGAAACATGCGTTTTGTCATGCAAGTTCCACGAAGTCAAATCCTCAACAAAGGATACTCGTAGAAAGCAGGTAGCTCCCGAAAGCGGACAGTGGTTACCTATCGAATGATCGATCGCGAACAATCAATCATAAATCTATCAATCCGTCGTTCCGACTGCGAGATGGACAGACAGTTAAGTGACTTTTCATTTAGCTAAAAAACGCCTAGAAGCACGTCACCAGTAACTGTTATTGTATGCGGACGTCCGAGCTTACTGTTAACATGTTAACAGACAATAGGGACTTTAAGATCCAACGACGCGGACGACAACAAGAACGTAAAAAAAACAATAGGTTTAATTAGCAAAACAACAACTTCGCAAGTGCATCACACTTATTTGTACATTTCTTTCCTGTTTTTGCACGACTACGACGTGAAATTGCTAATTTCGCGTTTTACGGTGGACGTAAACAAGCAACGACGAAATTTTATTTCTCTTTCTGAGCGTGAATATGGTCCCTTGGAATTCAGCTTCAGGAGAGTTCGCCTACAATTGACAAAGTAAGTAGGTAGGAATAATCGCTATAAACACTGAAAAAACTCAAATTCACTTTTTAAGTGACGTTCTTGTCGCCGTCGCGTCGTTGGATCTTAAAGTTCCTAATGTAAAGAGGGCGCGTCTGTTGTCGTCTCATCTAGGACATTTCATTCTTTCATTTCTTTCATTCATTATTTAAATCCATGAGCGGTGAGCAACGCTTTGAACTCTACTCCAACTAAGGGATTATGATTAGAACTCATCATCAAGAAAAATGCCAGCAAGTAAATTTTTATCAAGCAATATTTTTCTAACCAGTAGTGTTGTTCTCACAGTCTCCACAGCTGTTTCCCTTGATACATTTACTGTGACCATTACACTGGCAAGCTGCGAGGAAAAAAAAAANTCGTTCCGACTGCGAGATGGACAGACAGTTAAGTGACTTTTCATTTAGCTAAAAAACGCCTAGAAGCACGTCACCAGTAACTGTTATTGTATGCGGACGTCCGAGCTTACTGTTAACATGTTAACAGACAATAGGGACTTTAAGATCCAACGACGCGGACGACAACAAGAACGTAAAAAAAACAATAGGTTTAATTAGCAAAACAACAACTTCGCAAGTGCATCACACTTATTTGTACATTTCTTTCCTGTTTTTGCACGACTACGACGTGAAATTGCTAATTTCGCGTTTTACGGTGGACGTAAACAAGCAACGACGAAATTTTATTTCTCTTTCTGAGCGTGAATATGGTCACTTGGAATTCAGCTTCAGGAGAGTTCGCCTACAATTGACAAAGTAAGTAGGTAGGAATAATCGCTATAAACACTGAAAAAACTCAAATTCACTTTTTAAGTGACGTTCTTGTCGCCGTCGCGTCGTTGGGTCTTAAAGTTCCTAATGTAAAGAGGGCGCGTCTGTTGTCGTCTCATCTAGGACATTTCATTCTTTCATTTCTTTCATTCATTATTTAAATCCATGAGCGGTGAGCAACGCTTTGAACTCTACTCCAACTAAGGGATTATGATTAGAACTCATCATCAAGAAAAATGCCAGCAAGTAAATTTTTATCAAGCAATATTTTTCTAACCAGTAGTGTTGTTCTCACAGTCTCCACAGCTGTTTCCCTTGATACATTTACTGTGACCATTACACTGGCAAGCTGCGAGGAAAAAAAAAATATGAGACGTGAAATTAACAGAAAATAAAATGCCTGTTTATAAGCGGCTGAACAGGCATGTAAATGCAACATTTCTTAAACTATGCCTTTCTTTCTGCACAATACTTCTTTAATACTGATTTCTGTTTGAGTAGCTCTTCGCCAAGTTTCATGTTTGAGCTACGCAAGCACACCAAACTTTACCGATTCATTGCAGTGTCAAAAATACAAGCTACTTTCAGTTGGAAACCTACTTGATTTAAGTGCCAGTGTATTTAAAACCTACGCACTGAGATCACTGAATTGAGAACTGAGAACACTGTTTCACGTCTCCGAGACCGCCAATTTCAACATGGTCTTATGAACCGCGCGAAGGTCCCCTCACAGTTTCCAGGGCAAAGGCACAACCTACTTGCTCAGTTATTTTAAAAACCCGAGTATTGGTTTGGCCCTAGGAATCAAACCCGCGACCTCCCGTTCTGCAGTCCAGCGCTCTACTAATGGAGTTAACTCTGCCTGGGTCAAAAGAAAACTAACATACTATCGCTTCTTTCATCCCAACCTGGTTCCCAGGGCCTCTCTTTATCCAATATTCTGGAGCGCGAGAGACTGGGACAGTAATAATAAAGAACCTGGGCAACCTGGGACGAGGTTGCTATCGCCCTTTAACGCGTTCTCATTATCGTCCCCAACACTGCGCTTATTGTTACTGTACATGAATATCTTGTCGCTTCGTTTTTTTGGTCAAGTAAGCTTTAACTTGTGCTTTCAACTTAGCAAATTTATAGTATATAAAAAAGAAGGTGCAGCAACTGTTTGATCATCAAGCATGTTTAAGCTTTGGTGTAAATAGGGCATTAGCAAGTAATCTCTTGCAAATTACCTGGGCAATCTATAAAATTCCAGCGTGACTTTGAACAAGTTTGAGGATTGAAGAGCGAACACGTGGCAGTAGAATTAACATTCTTGGCAGGTGAAAATGGCCCGTCATTTCCGCCTGCCATACAGCTTCCTACGCCTGTACCAGAGCCATCATCACACCAACCACACCCGGGCAGCAAATGGCAGTCACGACAGGACTTCATTTCTGAGCACTGTAAACCTGAAAATTAGATATCGTGATTACATTTTTACGCGGTAGGAGATCGAAGTAACACAGAGGCCCTTGTAGGAGGCATCAGCTCTCTTCATCTTTTTCTTGATTACATTCTATGCACAAACAAATGAACCTGCAATGCAGATCCTTCAGATCACCGCTGGAGGGGGGGGGGGGTTGTTTTTGGGGGGGGGTTCTGCCTCGGCCTCTAAAGGACGTAGCTGTTGTAGGTAAAATCCGATTTGGGGTTGAACTAGTGTTCAGCTTAGTTGTTTTTTCGGAAATTCCTTTGTTATTTAGCCATAATCATTCGTTGGAGACAAAGGAAATTCTGTTTTTTTTTTCTGACAGAGGATTTTGCCTGTAACATAGTCCCTTTGTCGTTGACAGTTAGGACCGGTCGGTT